AACCATCTTGAGGACCCCAATAAGGTCGCATTCACTGCCTACACGCCTCAACTCACCTGTCAGAGACCGTACAAACTGGTGTCATATCTTTGATCTAGCTCTTTTGATATACTACGTAACAAACTGGTTGTTGACCTGAAAGTTGTGTGGAAGTAAGCTGAATTTCGTGATAATTTTACACATATTGTGTTGGACGAAGAATATAAAGAAGAACAAAAATAAGAACATTAAAATTCTTCTAAATAAAAGTATAACCTTGAAGAAAAGATATTTTGTAACAGTGTAGATCGAAGTATATCCATGGAGAATACTAAACCATGTTAAGAAACTGAAGAAAATGACTAATTATAACATTCATACATATATCAGTACTTGATACGATATATGGAATACTGAAGTGAGTGTATTTACTGTAAAAGGAAAGGAAAGTTGAAATATTGTAAACAGTAAGTATCATCACGTAAATATAGTAATAAAGGATAGTGGCTAGTAGTGGAATCCAGGACACGCATTTTGTCTGGCTTGGGACTCGTCAGCTGGATATACGCTACATTGCAGTGTACTGTACTTTGGTGTTATACGTCATTCCGGAAACCATAAGAGGCCCTGGATATATATTTCGCCCTTGTTGGCACTCGTCAATAAGGCTTACCAGATTCATGTTATTCTTATGTACTAAGAGTGGTTGGCTGCCCTAATGAATTCGGTTCACCAAAACACAATGAATTTCGGTCGCCAGATTTCGAGTTAAAGTTGAATAAGTTGAAACATGGATAAGACTGTAAGATAATACCATTTAGTCTTGCTACAACTTTTCATTAGATTGATAAAACTCTATGGCTTAAAAAAGGATTTGCACACAAAAGAGTATACGTATCTTGGTTTATGTTTTGAGGGATACTATGAGTCTCTAACGCTGAAAAATCCCTCTAACTTTTGTGCATCAGCTTTAAAAACTATTTTCTAAATGATACTTCAAACGAAGATAAACTTATTATAATGAAACTAATGAAATTGGATTATTTCGGGCAAGTTTTTATCAACTAATTTTCCTTACTGAGTTACTTTGAGAAGTTAATTTTTCAACAGCCTTCCAGTCATATTTCATGGTCTTCAGAGGTAAACATCTTTTAAACCAGCTAAGATGTAGGCACAACATTCAGCGATAGCCAGAAATGAATTGCATTTGAAAGATATCAGCTGCTATATTTCAACTTAATATTTGAATGTTGATATCCTCGTCAGAAAACAAGGCTATTAAGGTAACATGTTGCAGAGCTTTAAGAGAAAACACCAACATGCTGGGATGTAAACGCATCCACTTGGTGAAGCTAAGATCGGACGAAATCCAGGTCTTGGATTTAAATGCTGGTGCCTACAAAATATAAAAAGCATGCTATCACATACAGTAAGCAGATGTTTTCGATAGGAGCCCATGCGCTATGACAGATTGACTGGCTTCGTGTTCTACTTTACATTTCTTGTACAAGCTTGACTGCATATAGACATATTTCAGGCAATAAGATGATGAAGGAAATCGCTATGCTATTGAAGTTACCAGCTAACATGACATAGGTCCAGGATTCGACCTATCAAGCTACGCGAACCACTAGCTAATCAACTTTCCAGTTCACCTCACTTTCATTGTTTTTTTATCACATTAGTCATACACTCCGGTGGTGTTAACTTGGAATGGCGTGAATGATTACAAATCAAGTGTTCTGAAAGAAACCCTTGGTCTTTGTAAAAAGCAGTAGGTATTTTCGTTGTAGCTGAGTCAGTACGATGCAGTTTACCTACATACCTTCCCCCCCCCCCACTAATTTGATCGTTTGAATTCATCTGAAAGACTTTATTGTATCCATGACGTTACTGATAATAAGCAATATACAGAGATTACGTATTTACACGTAAATTGACACTATATAGTGTTCACTTTCATCCATCTCAATAATTCATAATTACATCCACCACCATTAGGGATAACTTCCCCATGTATTGTTGACCTAATAGAGAAGAAGAAATCACATTCATAGGGAATGCAAAAGTGAAACTTTCACATAAGAAAACCGTGTTCACTGAAATTTCAGAAACACTGATAGTAACTAATTTTATTTGTTTGAACATGGAAATCCCTTGAGGTGATTATCAGTTATCGCATAGCACTTGATAAGAGAACATTTGTACATGAGGCATGCATTATCATAAATTAGGTTAATTTTACATTGGATTGTGAATACAAGATACAAGACTACAAGTATCATAAGGATGCTTGTACTAAAGTGAATTGAAGCTAATGTATAGACATTGGAAGAAAATAGCTAACAAGTAGGTTATTTGCTTATCATTGAGGCTTTCTATGCACTGCCATCACTGTCTGTTTGTCAATAGATCTATATGTCGGTCAGTCTGTCCATCATCAGTAATCTACACACAATTCAGCATCAAATTAGCTTATTCGATATAGCACATATTGCTACCATACTATTTAGTGGATGACCCAGAGATTTTCTTTTCATCTTTAATGATCATCCAGTATCATTTAAGTTGTTGTTTCTCTTTACAGATTGCCGCGATAACTGCCACTGAAAACAGTAAATTTAACTCCTTTCATACGGTGGTAACAATATTCTAGATGTCACATCTTATTCTTATGTATTCTTATTACTTAAATTCCCCTTGTTGTTGATTTACACACCCAAAGTAGTCAATCTCTGTTGGCATATAAGTTATATGTTCCTTGTGACCAAAAGTAACCGGAGTTCGATCACAGGCATCATTGAGGCATTCATACGTGAACTTCATTTTATTAACTGTGTAAATCCACAGTGTGAAAGATTAGTGCTCATCAACAACTTGTCCTTTTGAAGCAAAAGGTGGCCATCATAGCTTAGCGACGAAATACATAACGCTTTGGCACTTGAAGCAATAGGTGCTTATTTTGATTCGAACTAGAAATCGGAATAATCTGACTGATGAGTCCTCAGTAGAATGAATATAATAGCAAGGTTGCGACATTCTAAATAATGGAGACCGATCAATTCATTCCAATCGTCGACGGAATAATACAAGCAACAACATAAAAACTATACCCGTCGCGCAAGAAGTGTTAATCGTTACTCAGTGGCCTAGTGAGTGGCGCTTTGGTGTTAGGAATGGCCGTTCCAGGGTTCGAGACCCTTTGGGGGAAAATATCGTTTACTTGGAGGCGGGTACAACTAGCTGATGAGTCTGAAACAGGAGGAAGTGTGTGTGTTCTGGATTCTACTGCTAGCCACCATCTACCAATACTATGAAGTAGTCATTTAACCTGTAGAAAAGTTAGTGCTACTTACTCCCTAGATTTCTGTACACTAATGAAGGAAAAACTTGCCACTTGGTGCAAAGTTTATAGATTGTCCTTCTTTTCAGTTCATTCCTAATTTATTCTACTGGCCGTCGGTGGTTAACTATTGAAGGCGTCCAAAATCATCATCTTTAATAAGGGTACACCAGTAAAGACGCATTTATATGTTAGCTGACGGTCCCCGATTGTAACGGACACACTTATCACCATTCGAGAATGTATAACGTTAGAAATGTTTTTCGAAGCTGTGGTGCAGACATGTTAATAGCATATGTACGTTTTTGAAATCAGAACACATTCACAGGGCTTTTTCATATATATATATATATATATATATATATATATATATATAGTCTTGGTAACAGATATAATCTGAAAAATGAATAAGTGCCTGTCAAAGTTAATTTGCGATCACCGCTTGACATCAGCTGAACGATCACTAAGAGCTTAGGAGCCCTGTATAGCTGTTTCATCTTAGCTTCCAGCTCCTCAGAAATTGGTACCTCTTACTCAATACAGGTTCAAGCCCAGAGCGTAAGCTCTCGTGATAACCGCGTCACCATCTAGTCACTGGACGGAATCTACTGGTACCTTGAAACTAATCTTGTGCTTAGAAAGCGAACTTGTGCACAATAACTACTCATCTTTTGCAGCTGGGTATTTCATCTCTGTAAATCGTACTGAGATAAATATGGGGTTGATATGAAGCTCTTGATCTGAGGTATACAATAATTCTAATAAATAATTCTTCAATAAAATTTACTCAAGAACAAATAAATCAATACTATCAATGATGCTTATTTAAGACTGCCATGCTATTTTCTCTGCCCGTTATAACACAATTTGCTAGGAAAACAGTCAAAAGGTTGTGTGATTACTTTGATATGATTATGAGCGATGAACTGTTCTCGAGAAGTCATCCAGTAAATGATACTGTACCCCTGTGTATTATAACAAATAAACGGATCTCATGTTGGATTATACTGCAGACCTAGTCGAAGTCCTCCTCGTGACAGAAACTCTATACTTAAAATTACAAGATAGTACGTGTTTACAAGTAAATTTTCATAGTAAATCTGCAGGTGATATACAGACATCTTCTCAGGAGCCCATATGCCAACAGACGTGGAATAATTCGATTCAGTGTAGCAACGGAGAATTACAAGTATATCAACAAATAGTAATAACTAATACCCATGCCTCAGTGGCCTAATGGATAACGTTTTTATGTCTGAAGCGATGGGTAGGAGATTCGGGTCTCAGTGGGAACAACATCACTCAGGTACATCAAACATCCTGAATTCCTCTGCTAACCGCAACCAAGTAGATTATAATCTTTATAAAAGCCTATATATTGTTGGTTTTCAGATAGAATCGAAGTCAGTTAAAAGCTACCGTTAAAACACTATAATCTGAAATGTGTTTTTACTCGACATGAAATACACGTCTATAAACATACTTCGCCCATACAGCAGAAAATAAAACCCATCACAATTAATAATACTAACATTATTATTTCAGTATATAGAATGAAACATCAAGTGGTTTAATTATTCTGTCACACAAATGTATGTATGAAATAAGTAGCAAACAGGTTAGAGGGTTTGCAGTAACCCAGAGAAAAGGATAAGGAAAAAACAACATTGATATTTAATTATGAATTTTTCTGGATAAAGTTCTCATATAGTCCGTGAAAACATGAAGATGCCGACGACATAAATAGGGGACTTGAAGTCGACTCACCTACAGCTGGTAACTGGTGTTTCTGGAAGTGTGGATAGTGATTATCAAGAAGTATGTGAACGTTTGGAAAGCCTTTCAGAGCACTATGCGATAGACAGCTTGTCAGATTTTCATGATTCATTAGAGTATTCCAATGATCAGGATACTGAGGAAAATGGTGAATGTAGTTATTCGAGTATAGATTAAAAGTGGACTGTTGTAAAAATTGTGATGGTTTCGGTAAATTAGCAAAGAGATTGGATAGTATACGTGCAGGTTCTTGAATTGAATTGATTGTTTCATCAGTTGGACAAATAAAGCAATTTACTGGATCAGCTGATGTCTGACGTTGTTGGTGTTGATGTTGACCAGGAGGTTGGTTGGTTGAATTTTTATTCAAAAAGGATATCTGAAATGAATTCGATGATTTATTCAAGCATTGTGATGAAGATTCTTCAAATCGCCTTGGTGATAGAGTACTGGCTGATAAACTACTTAACTGTTTTGCTATCGGACTACTTTCTGCTGCTGGACGATCTGCGTCATCATCACCATCAATAACGACAGCATCAAAACCAAGTGGGGAAGTGAATTCATTTTGATGTTTATCATTTAAAATTGATTTGATGGAATTTTTATTACTGGGATTATATGACATATCTGTTGATGGGTAATTCAGTGACGGTAGGTGTAGAAAAGACATCGATATTTCTCGTCTATCTGTTTGTCCACCTAACAGGGGAAATTGGCATAAAGTAAAATAATTTCACCAGGCGAAAACACACGTAAAGTAAACACGCAGAAAACCCTGAATAACAACTTTGCTCAAAGCAACTCCAGAACTTTGACATAGTAGTCTACCAGCCAAAACGACAGGTTCATTTCGGAGGTTTATGCGGATTTATTTATTGATTTCAGCTTGTCACTCACCAAGGCCTGTTATCAACTGAAGGATCCTAGTGTAAGACTTAGGACTGCTCGCCCAAAACCTCACCGGGGATCAAACGCAGGAGATCTACATCCCGCGGCCAACACTTTACACTTGAGCCATTTAGGTGACATCCGAAGGTCCTCATTTCCTACTTCCGTCAATTCACGATATAGCGTGACCTCTATCCAATACTGTCTTTGAGTAACTGTCCTCACATCCGACTTGCTTTGTCCCACCGATCACGATTTCTGATTGGAACTTCAGGAATTTCATCTAAAACCAAGTCACTAATGGTTCACTACTTTATGTCAGTCCACGAGGAATATCAACCTCAAATCAAAACAATAGGCTTGGATGAATGTTAATTACACTTTTCTAAGGAAGTATTTGACATGATAACTGTCTGTTCAGCTGAATAGCTGCTCACCTGAGTTAGCATTCGAAGATGTATATTCAAGAGACTGTCAAAGTGGATCTGTTTATTGATCACATTTACTTTCACAACGTAAACAAGCTAAAGTTACTTTAATCATATCATAGACCTACTAAAAATTAGGGAATTATATTAAACGATAATCTCATTCTAAGTTGTTATTCATCGAAGACTGACATCAGTTGGAGGAACAAAGGAAACCTGGGAGCACTGGACAGCTGTTTCGTCCTAGTATGGGACTCCTCAGCAGTGCGCACCCTTTGTTCCTCCAACTGAAGTCAGTCTTCGATGAATAACAACTTGAAATATTTCCAAATCTCCACAACCCCCTCAAAATTTAATCTCATTCTAGTTGAGAAATTTTATTGATGCCTAGGCTAGGACTCTGTGAGGTCAGACTCGAGGATTTTATATTCCTCTAGGAGTACTTTAGTATCCGACCTCTGAAAGTCAAATCGCAATAACAATCCCCTGTCTCTTATTTGCATAGAAGTTCGACAAGAACAATCTGATGTACTACTGAAACCTAGGTATTAACTGAAATTCTGTTATCAGTAAGTAAAAGTTTGACGATTAATCGAAGTCCTATAGCAGTTAACACCTCCTTTTCCATATACTTCATCCAACTTCAAGTCGTTGTCAGAAAACTATCACAAAATTCAAATCAAACTATCCAGGATTCCAATTACAACCAAGCATTTTTAGTAGCGATACATAGTTTTGATAACACCAAGGATAACTGATGTAGGTTGGTCAATATTTTTAAAAACCTGTATGAAGAAGTGGAAACTACTACTATGTCAGTAGTATATCAAATCTTATTTAAACATTGTTTTATATTTGATTAAGCACACTCATACACATATATTCACAGATTTGTGTCTACATGAAATCACTTACTAGATATCGGTGCTGACAAATAATTGTTTTCTTGACTCCATATTATCCCATCTTTGATGTCAAATTGATTATTTGATGATCAGTATAGTATATATGTTCATTTGTTAACTTTTTTGAAGTTTCATTTGTCGCATGATTATTTAACAGTTCATCCTTATCCTGATGATTAGTGTTAGTAATATTATCATTAGTCTGTTCATTTAAGCGTTGCCAGTCCATAACGATTACATCTTCAACAGCTTGTCGCCTTTTCAATGCAACTTGTGCAGCCATAACACGTTGACGCTCAACAATTAATATACACTGTGCACATTTACAATCACGATAAGCACAGTTACGTTTATGCCCTTTAACCCAAGCAATTAGGCCATGATTACGACAACGTGCACATTTAGGTCGCCTTAATCCAACACGTCGTTGATTATTATTGTCAATAGGAGTATTATTATTATCGTTTATTGTCGTCATTGCTTTGGTTGATTTAATTAATTTTGCGATTTGTCTAACAGTAGACGAATCCATATTTGTTAACGGCTGATTTAAAGCGACTGGAATGATATCTGTTCCATTTGATGACCACATTGTTTCGTCTGATTTTAGAGTTTGAAATCGTGCGTTTCTCCTGAATCACAGGAATGGATAAACGCTTAAATATTTCTATTCGACTACTATCTGACTTCCGATTGGTTGATTTTATTGACCAACCAAGTTTTTATCCGTACGAATATATAAATTATTGTCTGTTTACAGATTTCAACGCCATTTTTGCGTACATGATGTAGGGGACAATTTAGTAAAAACTGACTTATCGTCTGCTACCAAAGGTTTCACTATTATGTACTAAAAAAGGAGTAGAATTGTACTTTTACATCGTGAATTAGATTAATTGAAATAGATTATTATTTACTATTTTTCCTTTTTAGGTTTATCAATTAGTCAAGTAACCGTTTACTTTTGAAGACGTTAAATATGAACAATGCAGTTCCTGGGTTCAAATTACTACAATGGACACTGAAAAAATGCGGGAAGATCTATAACGTGAATAATATAGAAATCAATAAAAATTACAATACCAATGCTGGTGGACGAAGCAAGCCGATGAGCGGAAAGTGGAAACAAATTATGCAGTAACAAGAGAAGTCGATTGCAGGAAAATAAATGATGGAAAGATGCAGCCATATTGCACTAAAGTTTCCAGCAGCTGATCTAGGATCTCTCTTAGATCCCTTCTAGCAGACCTACAGTACCCTGTACAACTTCGACCAACTACTAACCAGATTTTTATTTTACCTCAGTCACCAAGGGTCACGAATTCACATGGTGCTCGGGCAACATCCTTGGTGACTGAAGTGAAATGGAAATCTGGTCAGTAGTAGGGCCTCGTAACTCAGTTGGTACAGCACAGAGACAGAAACCCGATGGTCGACGGTTCGAATACCACCAAGGTCCAAATTTCAATTACACCTTCAATCATCACCCACTATCAAATGGTCTGTCTGACTACTTTTTAGCCAAATGTAATGTTTTATGGCGCAACGAATATACAGGCGGAGAAAAGTAAAAACTAAATACCATCTCTAAATTACTTAGATCCACCAATAATTGAATACTGGAGTAATTAACGGACGTCCACTTTCTATCCAACTCCTTCCTGCCGATCTTCAACTTGAAGAGAAGACAGTTATCGAGATAATGAATCATTTATTAAATAAACAGAATAAGTTTGAAATCGTGATGCTGCTACACCATTTATATTTGCCTGAAATATCCATCGACAGACATTTGTTTTAATTAATATCGGCAGATGGTCAGTTGTGTGAAATGGGTTGATAGCACTCATAAGGTCTGGTAAAAGTGTTATGGAGTCAAACAATATCCCCTAGACTCCTTAAAGAACTCTGAAATTTTCTGATAAGCTTTCACAACCAATCGTGCATGAGGAACATCTACGAGAAACCACATGGCTATACGTGTGAGTTTCAGACTAGCCGAAGGGCTCTCTAGAAAAGTGTAGAACACATCAAGGCCACCGAAAACATAAATAAACCGTTACCTTTTCTACACGTTCAACTTGACAATAAACCTTTTTTGATTTTTGCCACTTTTTTTCTGTTTTCGAGGCACCGAATGACCCTCAAAGGTAAGTCCAAGGTCATTGTTAAAGAGTTTGCTTATATATATATATATTATATATATATATATATATATATATATATATATATATATATATATATATATATATATATAAGGATACATCAAACAGTAAAGTAAATATAAGATCAACTGTGTTTCATTGATCGTTGGATTAAACTAGTCTACATGTGTAGACCGAAAAATAATCTGCTAATTCCTTTTTGCAATTAATTGAGAAGTGTTAACTTCATAAGTCAAACTAGCATAGAGATTTTACGACTAAAATATTACCCATGGCATTATACTGCTGGAATAAGAAAAACATGATTTTTTTTTCAAAAATCAGATGTGAGTGATGAAGTGCAGATGTTTTCCAATGTGAAAACAAGACAGATAACTGAAATAGTGGAGAATACTTGTAGCTCGAGTGGATGGTCTTGGTTGTGTTATGCTCTATGAGCTGGGTTATTTAATCGTGATGCTTTCATCGTCCTTCTAGACGACATCATCAGTACTAACTTCAGTATGAAGTGAGCTGCCAATATCTCTCCGTGAGTGATTTAGTGGTT